TAGACGTCGATCATGGCGCCGCAGTTGATGAGGAAGACCGACCGGATGTCGGCGGCAAAGGCCATGGCCGCGAGCTGCGCGTTGCCGGCCACGGGCACGAGCGAGTAGGCGATCATGTCGGCCTGCAGCACCGAGGTGAGGATGGCGGAAGCGGCGATCGAGTCTGCATCGAGGGCGACGAGGAGGAGGACGCTGGCCGCGTTCGAGTCGAGCGCGTCCGAGACGACCTGCTTGTACGCGACGCGGAACTGCTCTCGTGGCCACAGCATGACGGCAACTGGCGCCGATCCGCCCAATCACACGCGAGGGATTGGCGGCACGCGTTGGGATTGGTCCACATTAAACGTCGCGGCAAAAATAACTCGATACGTTTAAACCGCTTTAACGCGAAACACCCGAATGGAAAACAGCGGTCTGGACAAACAGTGTTTGAGATGGTCCCACGTATACACTGGAGACTGAGCGCAATGTAGCACTGCAACGTACCCTACACAGTCCAGTGTATGGACTACGCAGTGTGACGAGAGGGACGCAGGAGAGAGGAAGAGCAAGCGCTTGGCAAGCGGCTAGCAACCAAGAACGAGCAACGCTGCGAGTACGAACGACAAGTATGAAGCTCAAACTCAAACGATCGTGTCTTTTTTTTCTGGGTCGTTCCGAGGACGAAGCTGGGTGACAAAATGCTAGCTTAGCCCTTTGGTCAACCGGCGACATAAAAGCCGAAGCCACCGCTGAGCTGACGTACCGGTACCAGATACCGGTATTTGTATCGGGCGTTCTGAATGATGGGTTCTGGGGTATGCAAGCTGGTTTAGAAGCAACCAGACATTTTGGGGTCACGCTTTCGGAGAGGCATGGCTCCAAGGGAATTGTTTTGTATTCCCTTGAATGGCTTCTTCGTTGCGTTCGCTGGGACTTTGGTGGCGCATCGCAGGAGCATATTTTACTCTCTGAGCCCTCCTCGCTGCCAAGCCCACCAAGCCGCCAGGTTTAACCAGACTGTCGCGCGACACGGCGAAAGCACGCATAGGTTTACGCGACCAGCGTGTGGAGGCCACGCCTTGGACAGCCTTGTGCTGTGGATCGAGCGGCTATCCCACCAACAGCTCGACGCTGTAACTCGTCGAAAAAGTGCCACGCTGTCATTAGAACCAGGCAATGCTTCTTGCGCAAAATTGGAGCATCGTCGTCTTGTTGCTTCACTTGTCCAACGACGACGCCTTGCGACACGGGATGGTGGCACCCGCCAAGAACGGTCTCTACTGCCGATCGTCGCCAGACGACGGGGCTTAAGCTGCTTCTCTTGCGGCCTCGTGGGGTACGAGCGACGAAATTAACACGGGAATGAAATGCTGGTCACCTCCGCTGCGCTCGACAACCGACAAAGTGGGCCAGCTGCGGCAAACCATCCGCCGATTGTTCACCGTGCACAGTACGATGCAACATCTGTTGCCGGTACGTTTGCAGTCACACGTGTCTACGGCCAGAATTGCAAGAAGGCGGCTGTCCCTTCTTTGAATCACTTTTACATTTGCCTTGGTTGCCACCATGTTTCGCCTCGCCACCGCAGTTGCCGCCATCGCGTCCGTCGCACTCTCTGCCGCCGAGAAGACGGCGCTCGTCATCGTCGACGTCCAGTACGACTTTGCCTCGCCGAATGGCTCGCTCCCGGTGACGAACGGCGAAGCCGTCATCCCCGTCATCAACCGCCTCCGCGCCAAGGGCAAATGGGATATGATCGTCACGACGCAGGACTGGCACCCCAAGGGACACATTTCATTCTACTCGCGCTGGAAGAGCGATCCGAGCGCTCAGATGTACCAGCCGTACAAGCTGCCAGCATCGACAAAGTGGCCCGCGGACTCGATCCAGGTGCTATGGCCCGACCACTGCGTGCAGGTAAAACCGCATCCTACTTTGGGGTTGGAATCCTCACGACACGGATACGTAGGAGAGCGATGGCGCCAAGTTTCACAAGGACCTTGTCGTGGACAAGAAAGACGTTGTGATCAAGAAGGGCTCGAACCCCGACCTCGACTCGTACTCGGCGCTCCTAGAAAACGACCACAAGACCGAGACGGCGCTGCCCAAGATGCTCAAGGACGCCGGCATCACGAAGCTCGTCGTGGTTGGTCTCGCGGAGGACTACTGTGTCGGCTCGACGGCCTTCGACGCCAAGACTGTGTACAAGTTCGACGTGACTGTCATCTCGGACGCGACCGCGCCCGTCGCTGCCGAGACCCAGGTGGCGATGTACGCCAAGCTCAAGACCGCCGGTGTCGGCTACAAGACGTCGGCCGAGTACTTGAACCACCCTGCGTGCTAATGACACAATGACCATTCTTTTGAGTTTCAATAGCGACCCACTGGTCCAGTCAAATCGACTGTCGAATCTTTGGACGTTCGCCGATTGCTCCATCTGTACATCCGCGAATTGCGGCAGACGTTTCGATCCAGGCCTTGCTTCGATTAAGATCATACCACGTGTGCCCAAGGATAGGTCGCTACCGCCCACTCTGCCGCTCGTCCTCGATTGGCGCTCCGTCATCGAGGTACGCGTAGTGGAAAGCTTGGGGTCGGAAAACACTCGAGTGCGCCAGTCTATACGATATGTACTACTGGCGAATCGAGGACGGCTGGTGGCTTTTGCCCGAGATCTGCCAGCGATGGGTTTGACGTAGTGCGACTTTAAAGCGTAGTAGGGACCAAGCGTGGGCAAACGACCGCCCATCACCGAGCTGCTGATCTTCGCACACAATGGCTTGGCGCATGAACTGGAAGGCATGAGCATGACCTCGACTGCGCTCTCTTGGGTCGTCGTCTCTTCGGACTTCTCTGCGTTCGATTGGAAAGACGAGTCTGCTGCTAGAGTCGGCTACATCGTCCCGGTGCTCATATACACAATCGAATACTGGTACTAGAACGTTGTCCAAGAAAAGACGCCTGCTTCTCCGTCAGCAAATCACGGGAGCTGCCTCGACGTGCCCAGCGAAGAGCCACCAGCATCTCACAGACTTTCCGTTGCTTTAGGCAGTGGCTGGCCTTGTGCCTTCATGATGTACTACTTGATAACACCACCTTGTACGTTGCTTGACGCCACGCTCGGTCGATCGCGTTTATCTTGCCTTTGATACGTACTGTGCATGCTTGTTGAGTGCAGTAGAACCAGCAAGTGGCGTACGAAGAAGAAGTCTTCTTCCAGCAGGTGGACATGACGGAAACTAGAAGGTGAACGACGCTGTCGTCATGGCTGCTCACGCGCAAGACGTCGGTGCACTGTCCTTTTCCGTTGACGCAAAGGTAAGGCTCTTATAGCACCGAGATGGAAGGCTGTTTCGACACGCGTGTCTATCTCCTGCACAATCCCTCCCAAAGACCAGTTGCGTACAGAGAGGTTGTGCGTTCCATCCTCGTAAACGGCCAGCATACTATCTGTACCATGGTACTCACGTGCACAACAATCCCCATCAAAATCCGTCGTGCTGGTTGATGGAGGTTTTTTGTGCAGCGTTGTCAAGTTGGAGTGTGATGGTGGTCCCAACGGTGCGCTGCTGGCTCGCGCAAAGAAGGGTGGTCCTCTGCGTCTGTGGTGTCAATGGTTCTGCGCTGAGAGTTTCGATACTCGGCTGTGAGTCTCGTCTCCCAAGCGTCTCTTCCGAAGTCACTTCCTTGGCCTCTTCCATACGTCGCGCTTTCCGGCGGCGATGTTTGGAAATTGTCCACCGCGGGAAAGACCACATGTTGTCGTAATGCGCTGAACCGAAACACATGGTCTTCAACGGACGGTGCTAACTTGCCCGATTCCACAAGCTCAAAACTCGGGGCTTGTGGCTTTCATTCTCCCTTTTCCTCCATCATGGTTGCTACCTCCTCCGTCTTAACGTCGCTCGTCGCCTTTGGCGCGTCGGTGATGGCGGCGTCGCTCCCGCCGTGCAACAAGGTATGTCCCGCGGCGTTGTCACCGCTCATCTGTTGTCTTGTAGACGGCGCTCATCATCGTCGACGTCCAAAATGACTTTGCGCTGCCAACCGGCAACCTCTCGGTCTCTGGGGGTGAGGCCATCATCCCCGTCATCAACGAGGTCCGCCACCGCGGCAACTTTGACATGGTCGTGCTCACGCAAGACTGGCACCCGGTCGGCCACGTCTCGTTCTACTCGCGCTGGGCCAACGACCCAAAGGCCAAGATGTTTCAGCCGTACACGCTGCCGTCGTCCGGTGATGGCCCCGTGTGGCCGCCCAACACGGAGCAGGTGCTCTGGCCCGACCACTGCGTGCAGGTACCTCCCATGCCTCTTCTAAGCCAGAGGATCTTACGACGCTCGATGACTAGAACGGCAACGGCGCCGAGTTTCACAAGGACCTCCATGTGAGCGCCAAGAAAGACATTTTCATCAAGAAGGGTGCGAACCCCAACCTCGACTCGTACTCGGGGCTGCTCGAAAACGACCACAAGACCGAGACGGCTTTGCCCAAGATGCTCAAGGACGCCGGCATCCAGCACGTGGTCGTGGTCGGGCTCGCGGAGGACTACTGCGTCGGCTCTACGGCGCTGGACGCCAAGACCGTGTACGGCTACGACGTCACCGTGCTCTCGGACGCGACAGCGGCCGTCGCCCCGGGATCCAAAAAGGCGATGGAAGGCATGTTCCAGAAGCATGGCGTCACGCTCCAAACGTCGGCCGATTTCTTCAAGGCCCAAGACGCTCGCAAGTGCCGCTTCAACTCCAAGAGCTGCTAGTGCTTGAATCGTTTGTACACTTTTGTACTTGCCACAAAATGCTCCTTTCTTCCAAACTTTGTCCCAAAAGTGTTCAAGGTGTCGTATGAAATCAGTGCCATTTGAAATGGACAGCGTACGGCTCGAGCTATCAAGTGCTGTCTTGCGTTGCCAGAAACCGCACCGCGGTCTGGAGGGTGACCTGCCGCCACCACAAACCTCGCGTGCATCGTGGCCTGGGAAAGCTCTGCGACAGCTCATGAGCACCGTCCTCTAGACCGCGCGCGGTCTAGAGGACGGTTCTAGTGAGTCGCGTCCAGCACGTGGTCGTGGTCGGTCTTGCGGAAGACTACTGCGTCGGCTCTACGGCGCTTAACGCCAAGACCGTGTACGACGTCACCGTGCTCTCGGACGCGACGGCCGCCGGCGTCAAGTATGACATGGGTGGACACCTTATCGCCAAGTCTCTCGCCAGTCGTTTTGCGCATACCCACCACCGACACCGACACAGTTTTTAGGGTTCCAACAGGCAATGCAATATTGTCTGTCGACGCGTCGGTCGTCGTCGACGTCGATGATTACTGCCGCGAGTGGAGGCGGAGCTGGTACACGCAGTCGATGAAGCGGTCGTACGTGATTTCCGTCTCGGCGCCGTCGTCCAGCATGTCTTGGCGCGCCATTTCGGTGATCGCGAGCAGCTTCTTGACGCCCATCGGTGTCGTCTGGCTCAGGTACAAGGCGATCTGCGACCGAGTGCTGGCCGACATCGGGAGACCCGCGCCGGCGAGGACCGCGTCGAATTGGTCCGGCGCTTCGAGCTGCGGCACGAGGACGCTCACGTCAAAGACGGACGCAAGGCCCAAGCTCGCCATCTCGTCGTACGCCGAGGTGATTCCGACAACGACGAGCTTCCGGCCGGGCACTGGCACCGGGTTCTTGATCATCACCAGCAGCGTTTGCAGCATCGAGTTGGAGAAACGCGGCCCGCTCGCTACACATCATTCTGGATCGTAACTGGCGCTTTGGATAGATGGATAGTAGGAATACACATACCGACGTATTCCATGAGGCGCTCCATGTCATCAATGATAATGAGACTCAGTGGCGACCGGTACGCCTCTTCAAAGAGCGTGTAAAGGTAGCTGCTTTTCGCGAGCTCTTGGCGGCCAATCAAGTCGGCCACTTTCACGAGCCGCACAAGCGGGTACTCGCTCGCGACCGCCGACGCGGCTGCGAGCGCTGTCTTGCCCGATCCCGGCTGGCCGTGCAAGAGGACGCTCATGAGCGACGTCTTCTCGTTCGTCTTGACGTGGTTGAGCACCTTGCGCAGCGTCGCCTGCACGTCATCAAACGCAGGGCCGTACGAGAGCAGTCCGTTGCGGAAAAACATCTCGAGCGTGTCTTGGGGCGCGCCAAACTTGGGTTTGACTTCGCTCAAGGCGAGTTCAAAGTCCGCAAGCGAGATCTCGGGCGTAAAGTTCTGGATCGGCGTGGTATGTCTTGCC